ACTCTTTCTCTTCCACAGATAAGTAGTCATAACTGTTATCACTCTGAAAAAGAGGGAAAAAAAACAGCGCAGGTAGGAGACACACAGGCATATTGTTATTCACAACCCTGGCAATTAAGGGGAGACCTGGTGACACAGCTCCTCACCCCAGGATGTAGCCACTGACTATTCGAAAACTGGTACTTACAGCTATAGCTTACAGCTGTAGTCTATAGCTATAGACAACTTCCTCTTAAAAAAATGATACTTAGGGACATTTTTATATGACTCTACTATGAGCATCAGACAATAAGTTATTCTTAACTTGAAAACTTGGCCTTCACCTTTTAGTTCTGTGCTTTGAAATATGAGCAGACTAATAACGTTGATGGTCTATGGGTATAGTCATCCATACTGATGAGCTATGCTGAATCACAGAAGCTTGTATAAACATCCCAAATACCAAAGCTTTTTCTCCTTGCTCTTTGTGATACTCCAGGTTTTAAAGGAGTAAAGCAAGATTCTGTTTAATTTTTGTTGTATTTCAAGTATGATGAGGTGTGACTAGTGTGGAAGGGCCAAGTCACAGGGCAATACATACAAGATAGCATGAAAAAATGAAGCCCTGGTAAAGGATGGAGTGTGCGTCAGATCAACAAGCATGGGGGATAAATTGTCGCAGGTGGAGTTGTTTGCAGAGACATCTGTCTAGCTCTTGTACTGTGCAATATTGCAACCAGTTTGTCCATCCATAATAATTTGCATAGGAGGTTGTTTCTGGTTTGCAGTACATCAAATGGAAAACCTGTTCAGGACTGAGAATTGCACCAGCAGGTATCAATTACGCTCCAACTCAGACAGGATGTAATTAGTCCATCAGTCTTGGAATCAGTGTTTGGAGACAAACAAGTTTTAATGGACAGATAGTGAAAAATGATGCACCTACACCCATGGTCCAAATTAATCGCTGCCTTAACAACTAAATCTCTTGTCAGCTGGGGAAGAGTGTGGCTCAATGTCTTTTCCAGGTGAAGTCACCCTTGGTGGAGCCAGTCTGACCCAGTTATCCAGCGAGTCTGATCCCTTGCAGGGGAACTCGCAGGCTCTTCCTGCCCTGTGCCTGGACTATCTGCTTCTGCATCTGAAGACAACACGGGGCAGTTGGGCTCTTGCAGGGCAGGAGTGTTTCCCAAGGAGACCTAAGGCTACTTCATTGCTAGCAGGCACAAGGTAGAACTGGAAGACTGTCAGCCCTTCGGGACAAGAATTCATTTGGCACTTGCATGGCATTTAGCACGGTGCCATTTCACACAGGGTCTCCCAGATGCTGCCCCAACACCTACGGAGAGCATGTTTTGGTGGAAAAGAGCTGCTGACCTAGCATCCTTCCTCAAAAGCACCAGTTCTGCCTCTGCCGTTCCCCGCCAGGGGCCAGGCGCAAGCGAGGGTTACTTACGCGCTCAGAGCGATTCGAGGTCGTGCTGGCCATGCTGTCACAGCTGCCAGAATTGCAGCTAGCCATGCCTAGCCACAGTCCCTTTTTAGGCATATCGCCGGCTGCTGTGGCCATAGCTTCCAGCGCACAGGGTGGAATATCCCAGCTGAAGCAGAAGAAAGGAGAGGCGTTAAGCTGAGAGCCACCTCTGGAGGCCAGGCAAGCACTCTCGCGTTCAGCCAGCAGGAGGGCAGGAGGGCTGCAAAGCTCTGAGGTTCAAACGTGCTTGTTCCTTGGCAGCTCTTTTTGAGAAGAAGGGGTCAGCTGTTTTTTGGTTTTTTTTAAAGCATCCTTTGGAATGACGTTTTTCCCCAAAGAATTAGAGTGCAGCCACCACTGCTGATTACACAGCTTAAGTGCACTAAAACATGAGCTGGTCATTAGCTTTTAAACAACCTGACATTAGGATTTCCAAAAGTGGGAATTTCCTAGAGACAGAACTGTGGAAACTTTGGAGCACTTGAGCATCGGGAAAACGTGGCCGCTCGCCGGCCAGGTTGCACTGCCGCGGAGAGGTGCGCAGTGGGCAGCGGGACGGGGAAAGTGTGGCCGCCTCAGGGTAAAGGTCTCGCAACCCACAAAACGCACAATTACTTATAGATGTAAAATATTAACCTCCCAAAATTTGCTGACACCAGCAGTCACATGTGCTCTCTGTGCACACTGCTCATTCTTCGGCAGAGACAGACTGGGCTACAAGGACGAAAGAAGACAAGAAAGCAAATGCCCCCTCCGACGCACATAGCACCAGGCGAGAGCATCTGGTGGCCAGGAGACAGAGGAGCTCTGTGCGCTGTAACCTGACTGCGGTGCCCAGGGGCACAACGATGTTTTTTAAGGGGGGGCAGGATCGAGGAATTAGATCTAGCGATAAGTGAACAAAACTGGTGGCTTATTAATGGAGTTAGTCCCTGAAAGAACTCCTTTGTAACTGCAATATGCCACAAAAATCAGATTTCAGCACTCACTCCTTGAAGGACCCAAGCCCTCCTCTCATAAGGAGTTTAATATTTCAGTCTCAGTTTTGCATTATTTTCTACTTAAATTATGTTTGAGTAAGCAGCATTTCTGAAGCAGCAATACCCTTGATTCTTTGAATTCAGATAACCTTTTGGCTAGAGCCAGGAGGCAAAATTTGAGGTTGGGGATTTGAGACTTATGCAAGCTGGACAGTTTTGCCGCGCACCCCGATATCCACAACATGAAATGTGAAACTGCTTCCAAACAGCTACAGACTAACATCTGCTCGATCAAGGCCTGCAAGATTGCTGCAATTTTTTTCCTTTGTTTCCCTCCCTTCCGCCTAAACTGGAGAGAACAAAATAGCGTTAGGGAAGCAAAAGTCTTGCTGGGACTTGAGGCTCACTCCCTCTGCGTGTGCCTGTCGCCATCCAGCAGAAACGCCGCAGCGGGACGGGGGACGCGCTCACCTGCAAGGAGGCCCCATGTGCCCAGGCTTCTTGTTCGAACCCTGTTTGCTGAGATGCAAAACGACTGCCAAGAATTTGCAGTGATATAACACCTTCCTCTCCCCTCCCTCCTTCCCTGCCAGAACAAGCCGGAGGGGAGAGGAGAGCCTACGAACCAGCTGCCAAACCCAGACTCACGCATGAGGCAAAGTTCGTTACAAAACCAATCAAAAAATGGAAAGGAGATATGCAGAAACAGAAACGTATTCTCCTGTGCACCAGTTTCCCATTGTTTGATGGGATTATGCCCCTAACACATTCATCCCACTCAAGAAAGGGAAAGGGGAAATCAGTGCTGAAAAATCTGAGTTTGGAGGGTTCAGAAGGGTTTGACAATTCCTTCCTTTCGTTTGCAAAATAACACAGCAGTTAAGCCACAAACTAAAAATATGACTAAGCATTTTAATTAAGAGACATAGTACTTGAAAAGCTGTGTTTTGATGGTACATGTTCCCCCCACACACACTAAAAATGCTTTTATTAGACGCAATTTTCCAACTAAAATAAAAAGCTAATTGAGGAAGCTTTCGAGGCAGCTGCAGTAACTGTCCTTACAAAGCTGTGGAGCCTCAAACATCAAAGAGGTGCTGGGTAGCAATTAATGCTAATTGCGCTATATCAAGAGGATACTCTTTTTTAGCCTAGTATTAATACAAGTATGTTAGTGGAGCTGTTTTAACAACGTTAAAGAAATTCAGCATTCTTTTGTCTGTGGCGGAGCAGTTATAACCCCTGTGCCTTACAGGTGCATGCAAAGGGCTCAGTCCTGCCAGGCTCTACAGAGAAAACGAGTCAAGAGAAGAACGAGTCAGGAGAAAAGCACGGCTCGCTAGCAGGTAAAATCACAGCGCTTCTGCTCTGCAGCCGCCCGGGGAGCCGGCTCCCGCCTCGGCGGGAGAGGAGACAGCAGACACCTTATGAAAACACATAAATCATTTCCACGGGTAAGTTCCCTACCTTAGGTTCGCTGTAGGAATTCACATTTCCATCAGCAGCTGCTGGATCTAACCCCCCTTCCTCCCTCCATCGCCTGGAAGCGACGCTTCCGCGACGCCGTCTCAGCCCGAGGCGAAGCCTCCGGCCGCCCGGCTCCTTCCCCGCCGGACAAGGACAGGGAGGAAAAAACCAAGAAGGAATACAAGCTGTTGTGTTCGTTCCGGGTTGGTTTGTTCGTTTGTTGTTTTTACCAAGTCGTCCGTCGTTTCGCGGTGACCGAATCCTTGTCCCGGCCGCGTCCTCTCTCTTCCAGCGGCTCTTCCCCTTCCTGCGCTAAGCGGAGAGCGCCCGGTTACTCATTAACTCGGCAG